TGGCTCTGGGGATCCCAACTGACCAGGCAAGGCTATCCCATCCCAGGGTGCAAATCAAGAAGATGAGCAGTGGTGAAGGGCAGGGAAAGAACCTACCCAGCATGGGTGTGCCAGGAAGAATAGCTCTGTCTTCAAGGGACTCACAGAACTTTGAGGTTTTGTAAGAAAAAACAAAGGCAGCAAGCGTTGGGGTTTTGCATGGCTAGAGGATTCTCACAGCTGGCAGGGTTGGTAATCCTGGTTAGGTCGTGGGATGATGGGTCGTATCTCAGGGCTGCTTCTGCCAGGTGGCTCTAGAGAAGTCCGTGGCTTGAAGGGATGCTCTGGTCCTCATGAGATGGTTGCTCCTGCCTAGGGGAAGCTGCAATTTCATTACGTGGCACTTACTCCCGCTTAGGGGGCGAGCTCCTCATGGGGTCAGCTGTCCCAGAGGCTCTGCTTTTCATGGACTCCAAAATGACTCCAGGTTTCAGACAATTACTAAAGACTTCTTGCGCAGCTCCAGGCTGTCAGAACAGGATGTTGTAAAAGCTGGTGATTGAACATTTGCACAAATCTTGAATCTATCTTAGTTTCTCTTTGTGTCCTCAGTCTTGAAGGGGAATGTGGTAGTTTAGGTAAATTTAGGTGAATAACCTTGTATTACTAGCATTTTGGTAGACACTGTTATGAGATTAACATGTCTTCGTGCAGAGCGGAGCAGGGGTCTGACCCAGTGTTTAAGGAGACGACTAGAAAAAGAGGCAGATGCCAGGCTTGATGCTGCTTTCAGTTACCCACTGGGCATGTGCAGACCCAGCCTCTAAGTCCCTGTTACGCTTGGACATTCCCTTTCCACAGCCAGAGAGAATTTGTGACATTGTAATGTTACAATATTGGCTACTCAGATCTATTTTGCTTTTCATATCCTCAAAGTAATTAGTCATGGAGTACAGGCTCACGTAGCCAGAATCCTGTCTTCCACAGTCATGTGTGTTTTCGCCCTGCTATTAATGGTCACTGTCTCCCGAAGAGAGCACAAATATCTTAGGAATGATCTGGCTGCATTTTAGTACCACTCCTCTCTTTCCACTCTCTCTGTGTGGTAATTGCCTTCTTGTTTTTCGTTCCCAACTCCAGTGCCAGTCTCACCAGAAAGCCTTCCCGATCCCTCCTATCAGAATTGAGCTACATCTATTTAGGCGATAAGTTAACTAAAATACTTATATGTCTCAATACATCACAGCAAAAAGTGATGCTGTTGGTCTGTTTTTCTTTTGAAGGCTCTTACTGCACATGTTGACTTGACATCAAATCTCAGAGAGGTCACTAGACAGTGTCCTCTACATCAATTGCCTTAAATTTTCTTTCTTAAGATGAAGTAGATGATGGCATTTTGCTTTGTAGTTCAGAAATGTATCCAGCATTGTTCTTTGAAACTGGCATTCGTGCCTCTAAAGCAATCTCTATGATTCTTTATTTTGCTGTCAAAATTATGATTTCTATGAAATGACTGTACTGAGCACACCCTGTCCTCTTGTGCAATATCCTAGTGCTGCAGTTAGTGGCGACGTCCCTGCGACTATTGCTGGCCCACATATGATTGCACTGCTACGTGGTGCTATACAGTGAATAGAATCATCTCAGCCCTTCTCAGCTGTACTGGTCTGCGGTGCTGTAGACAGATGAGGGCTTCCTGAGTGCTAGGGCTCTGATTTCAGACCTCCTGGTGGAGCTGGGCTGTGGTCGAACCTGCAAGGTGTATTTCCCACGTTTTTCAGGGGATGCTGTGCTTGGAGAACCACGGTCCTACACAAAGGGCCAGGTTCCACACCACTGTCCAGGAGAGGCTTTCCACAGGGCGCTCCTTCCCTCTCATAAGTAAGCCATGAGGAGTGAGGAAATGTGTTAGTTGGCTGAGAAACAGTTAAAAAAGATGTCAGCAATGAGCTCTAGCCCAGTACCAGCACTAGTGATGTCTCGTGACAGGAATCAGGACGACCATTTGGGAGGGGCACAAGGATGTGTGAGCCTCACTTCTGACCCTCTGGGTCCATCTCAGGCAATTCAGACTGCTGTAACAGGGTACCAGGGCCCTTAAATGACATGGCTTCACACTTCAGGAGACCAGGAAGTACAAGATCGAGGGGCCTACAGATCAGCGCCTGGCGAGGGCCTCTTCCTTGTGTGCAGACCACTGTCCTTTATTGTGCCTTCGTAGGGTGGAGAGAGGGAGCATCTATTTGGGTTTCTTCTTTAGTGAACAGCATGAGTCCCAGTCAGGGGGTTCCCTTTCCAGACTTAGTTCCTCTTAAAGGCCCCCGCTCCAAGTGCCATCACATTGTAAGTTCGGGCTTCAACCTATGAAATTTGAAGGATGCAAGCATTTAGTCCACAGCAGGACCTTCGACATCAGTACAGGAGTGCAAAAAGCATATATGTATGTAGATTCATCTATGATATACCCTGTAACCGGGAGTTGGAAAAATGTGCACTGCAGAAAAAACATGAATTGTTGCACGCTAGGATGGAACGCCAGCTTTCACTTGGGCTCCATGGCGTGTGTGTCTTTGCAGCCTTTTCTCTGCAGTTCTGTCATCGTTTACATCCATAAACCGGGCTACTCACAGGCGGACAAGAGCGTCAGCTCTTTAGTTTGTCTCCAACTGAATGGCCTTATTGTCCAGACTGCTTTTATAAAATCTATGTATCTATTCACTCAAATAGACATGGACGATATAGATGTACTCTTTACTTTGATAGAGTTTTATTATGTGCGTCTAGTAGGGGAGACTCACACTAAAAAAATACATATTTATAAATATGTGATTGTAAGTTTTGCTAGGAGGAAACATGAAATCTTGGTGTTATAAGTGAGAGGGACAGTGGGAGGGGAATTTAGATTTCTGTAAAGGAAGTTCAAGGGCGAGAGCAACGTGGAGGAGCTGGGAAGAACTGTTTGCAGGCAGATGGAGTCCAGCATGGTGTGTGAGGCTGGGGGTCCCCACAGAGCAGTGCAAAGTGGGGTGGGGAGAGAGGCTTGCCCTCCGCGTCCCTGTGGGGTTTTGTTAGCTACTACTCAGATAGCTTACACTTTTACTTTGCACCCGAGTTCTGTGTATGTCTTTGTGCCTTACCCCTTTGTATGTTTTTGACTGCATTGGGCCTTTCTTTGTATGTCACCTCTCTCTGTATCTATTAAATCATTTATACAGCATAAACTTCTTTATATATGTAATTTTCATTATTATGATTGCTAAGAAAACAACTATCTCTGGAGTAATATCAATTGTATAATAATTAATAATTATTTGAATTTTGAGTATCGCAGTGGCAGTCTATTTGTTGTTCTAAATTATTGTAAAGCCTTATAAGAGGAATCATAGAAGTAGTTATATCTGATATAATATCAAAAGTAAAGATTAAAATTATTAACTCAGTTTTTAAGGTACCATAATGATCATTATTTTTTCCTGGTAAAACTTCTCATTTGTTCATATGTAACTGCTTTGAAATTTGTACCTTAAGGACAAAGAAAGGTCATCAACCCCTCTAGCTCCTGGTTCTCTGTCAAAAATGGACAGAGTTAATGAGGTTTGTTTGGTACAGAACAAATTCGCAGACACAGATAGAGATCCTTTCAATGGAAACAAATTTGTTTGGCTTTACCAGGTTACTTAGCGATTAATAATAGCCTTGAGACGTAGGTCGGAGAGGTCATTGCACCAGCTTGCCCACACAATCGAAACGTGCAGCTAGCCTGGCTCTGTGGATGCAGAGACCCCCAAAATACTATGCATAAAGTAAAACAGGCTATTTTCTGACTCCTTTTTTCATATTAATAAGCAATTTTCAAGAGAAGGATGGCAAAATGGGGGCCATGCCATTCCAAGTAATTCATTTATTTTGCAATTTAATCTTATGTTGAAAAAAATTGCTCTGCTGCGGTAGCATTGCATGGTGATTTTTACACGTCAACATGTCTCATAAGTAACCTTGTATAAAGTATTGTATTCAGAGCCTTTCACAGAAGAATGCCAATAAAAATATTTCTGGACATCCAGGTTGAAAGGGAAATCTTTGATTTTTGATATATTTCCCCCTACTGTCCCCTGATTTATCTAAGGAAAATGCTGAGATGATTTGTTTAAAATTTTACTTTAGAGCTAGATGCTACAGTTGATACCAATTTTTAAAAAGGAGTAAGGTATAGTTTCAAAATATCATTTTGAAAGTGTATGAAATTTGTCCTATGAAAGTGAAAGATTTATTATTTTCCGATTTGGTAATCTCATGTTTGGTTTAGCAAGTGTTTTCAATGTAGTGTATTTAAAAGATTGTTTTTATTGGAATTCCTTTGCTATACACATACAGAAATGATGAAAATTTTCATTATTTTAAGGAAGTTTGTTGTGCATTGAAAAAACTTGAATTTATTCACATTATCTAACGTGTATTGTAATTATCTGTGTAACTGAACAAAATGTCAGTCTTTTAAAGGCAAGATAATACATGTTATCTTACCGGTATTATTTGAACTGTTAATTGCAGGAAACTTAGAACAAATTGAGCACTTGTATAAAACATGCTGTACCTGTTTGCTTAGTCCATGATTTTACAGAATAAATAATTAGAGATTTGAAAGTACAAAACCAAACTCTAAAGGAAATAAGTAACTCAGATCCTTTCTCAGGATATTTGTTTATCCAAAATAGCTAGATTTTCAACCAAAGAAACTGATAATGCAGAAGACCATTTACTTGGCATTTGATGTGAACACTTGCTTGGCTGTGAGATAAATTATAACACATAGGCATTTGCTTTTTAAATCTTAATACTGACAAATCATTTAAATGCTTCCTAAGGATTGCGCAGCTTCTCACAGAGGAGGCGGGCAGATAGACGACGATGCTGATTTTGATGGATGTGAATGATGGCTGCTCCTCAGAGAAAACTTTATGGAAAAGAACAAAAACATTAACAGATATTATCATAAGTGACTGCACATAATTTCCATGCAGGGAGGTACTGCAGGAGTTTGCAGAGATTCAGGAAAGCGAAGAGAAGAAGGCTAAGCTGGAACGGGAAGAGAAGCAAAGAGAAAAGGAAGCCCGAAAGATGCACCACCTCCTCAGCACAAAGCAGGTTGGTCTACCTGTCCCTGACAGCTCCCGCCAGCCCCCTGGGTCCTCGCCTGACAGAGACAAACTAGCAGGCTGAATGGGACCTGACCTGTTGAAAAGATACCACAAAGACACCACCTCGAGTTCAATTTCGAGCGCTGGTGCGGTGCTTGCCGCACTGTGGCTCCTCTGTGACAGCGTCTCACGTAGGCAGCCACTGCCAAGCTAGGGAGAAGTCCCAGCCGGCGGTGTGACCTGCCACTGCACTGGCATAGCGCCAAGGGCATCGTCAGGCTCCCAGCTCACTCCCAGGGGCTTCTTGTTGCGAACCGATCAGGAGCTAACAGGATATTAAACAGAGGAGGCTCTCGTGTTTTCTCTTTTCAGGGAGGAAGCATTAAGATGAAAACACCCTTCCACCCTTTCCTGACTTTTGGTGGAAGTTTTCAGGTGAAGCTATTAATAAAATTTCTCCCACAATGACATCTTTGTATAGAAAGCTAAATATAGAACTTGAGAGACTCAGAAATTTACTTTCACGTAACTTGCTAAAATATCAGGGCCTCAGATTTTGCCATAGTTCCTCGGGAAAAATACCTAGTTTGTAGAACACTCTGCCCAAAGACAAAATGTGATTTAAAATGCGTGAACTTGGAACCCAGGAGTTTCTGAGTTCTTATGATTTCTCATAAACCTTCAAGTCCAAGTTATAGTTCTAGGCAGTCACGTACTGAAGTCTCCAAGGGTGGGTAGAATTAGTCACAGCGGTGGAAGGTGAGCCCCAAGACAAAATGTCATTCTTAGAGGCATCCAAATGCAAAGCCTGTTAGCTACTGGGTCAGCTGTGTACACTCGGGACGGAGATGTTCACGCCTTCCCTTGCTTGATAGTCAAAATGCCAATAATGATGAGTATTTTTGTATTTGCTTGGATCTGCGTGGCTGAGTTATTGTCTTCTAATAGCTAACAGGACAGACTCAGAGCTGTAAGTGACTGATTCACTAACACTAAGCTCGTAGTAATATGTACCCAGTCCAAGATCTTTTTACTTGAAATAGGCAATAAAGGTAATATTTTAAAATTTTATTGTAGCATCTGTAACAGTGTCAAAATTTTAACTGTGTCATTGTGGCCTCTATTTTTTATGTAGAATTCAAAACCAAGAATTCCTTCTAGCAAAATATGTTTTTCAGTGTTGCTACTGACAATTTCAATTTTGATTAAAGGAATCTAAACTAGAGGGTTATTAACATTTTTAATATTATAAACACAATAATAATTTATTCCTTAGGAAATAGTTGCTACTTTTGATTATTCCACAACCTTTTTAGACATTGAATCTTCTTTAATTGGAATTCTACTTGTGCTGTTTATACTTATGATGAGTAGTGTACTACAGCAAGTAATAAGGAAATAAAAAATGCTGAAATACTTTGTCCTATTTAATCCAAGGCTGTTGAGATATGGAATGTAGGAAATCGGTTAGACAGTATTTAAAGGGACAGGCATGTAGCTCAGTGGTAGAGCAGTTGGCTAGTATGTGTGTGGTGCTGAATCTGATCCCTAGCACTGCAAATAATTTTTTTTTAAAAAAGAACATCCATAAGGATTCCATTGTTTAACTAATAAAAATAACATACCACCAAATATCCATGGAGTGCTTACCACGTGCCAGAGTCTATGATTAAAATTTCAGGTGCATTTCCTTAGCTATTTTGATTTCATTTCACTTTTAAAATTAAATACACCATCTGACAAATAGCTTTACAGGTCTGACCAGGAAGGAGTCACGTACTTCAGTGAATTTTCAAATAATATGATCATTGCATTTTGGGAAGGTCGTGTTAACGACGCATGCTGTGTTCCGCTGCATCTTTCTCCTTGCGTGTAGCATGCAGGGTGCTGGTAAGACCAGTGTCCGTGTGGCACATCAGAGCAGCTGCGGGCATCATCATCAAGCGGAACTGCCCTGGTATCCCAGCTGTCCTCAGAGAGCCCGGCGGTCAAGTGCTTTGTGTTTTCTGAGCCTATACATCACTCTACACATGTGGACATTGAAACACATCTTGAAATAATAGTGTAAAATATTTAAAATAGCATCTGGCCCTCAGAGGGCATTTGGTAAAAGATAGCAATCCTACTATTAGAATTTAACCTATCATGGATAAGCTATAGTTCCATACTTTTCTTCCATTGGTCCAACTGCGTGCACTCATCTTATTTCCTTTTGTTACTAATGAAAATTTGTTTGGAGACTTAGTAGGGGGGTCTTTATGTTGGGGCCCAGCCCCTCAACAGCTCCCCTCCATTTTACTCATGGCTCCCCACACCTCAGGATATTACAGGTGAAAGCATGTGCTCAATTCATCTTCCCGTGAGCAGAGTATTACAAAAGTATCCAAGATTCTAATCTGGCTCTGGCACGGTGTCATGATGGTCTTAATATTTGCACGTAGGTAACTGTAGAGATAAAAGGATGATACTGTGAGCTTTTGGGGTTGCGGCTTTTTTTTAAATTTTTGTTGGTAACAAAATAGTAGTATCATCCTAGTGACTCATCTGTTTCTTTTGTTTGGGGGTTTGGTTGTACTGACTGGATAATCGATAATCTTGGAAAATTTATGTTTTACACTATCTCATAAGATTTGCTTTATTTAGCTTTAAATTTTTCATCATGATATAAAACTGGTTGAAATTTTTTATTTTTTATTTTTTTGCCTCTTTGAGACAGGGTTTCACTATGCATTTCATGCTGGCCTTGAACTCATTTTGTAGCCCAGGCTAGCCTCGAACTTATAGTGATCCTCTTGCCTCAGCCTCCTGAGTGCTGGGATTACAGGCATGCACCACCACGCCTGGCATATGCTAAGACTTTAGTATATGTGAATATGCTCAGCATGATTTTGTTAATGCAATTAATTACTTTGTTCTATCTTAATAAAAACTTTACATACTTTTCCTAAACTAAGGGAGATTTAGAGTGAAAGACACATATTTCAGTGAGTATGGTTATTTATTTTCTCAGCATGATTTGGTTATTGGGTAGAAATAAAGTACTGATTTAAAAATATTCCTTAGTCAGTTGTTTAGATGAATTTCTTTGCTTATTTCAAGAGTTTTGATTTCAAATTATGTTTTTTTTTGGTTTTTCTCCGGTACCAGGAACCGAACTCACGACCTTGCACTTGCCAGGCAGGCGCTTTGCTGCTGAGCTAAATCCCCAGCCCCAAATTATGTATATTAAATGCACATTAAGTACAAAATAAGTCAAATAAGTGTTTATTTTAAAAGACCTGTATTTGTTTTAGCTTCCAATGTTTGCAGATATCTGAAAATTTAGGAAGTAAATATATAAGTGTAGTTAATTTTTATAAGTATATCAGAATAGAAAAAGTCTGCAAACCTGATTAAAAGGAATCAATGTAGCATTTTTAGCAAAAAGATACTATTTTTATTGGAATTGTCAGTAATTTAGGAATGCTATTATTACTATAGCTTGTGAGATACCAGTGTTTACATTAAATTTTCATAGTTCTAATATAACTTAATTTACATGAGTAAAACTAAAAAATTAATTCAACCTAATAATGTCTTAAAAGAGTGAAGAGTTTTTACGATAAGATTGTGTTTGTGATACGTAATGAATGAAATCGTGTTAATCTAATAATTTCAGAATGACTATGCTGGTATGCTGACATACTCATATACCGATCACAAAGTTTTAAAGCCAGCTTTAAATCTATTTTCAGCATAAACTCGGTATATAACTTAAAATAATTCTAAAAGATATTGCTAATTTTATAAGTATTAATTATCTCATCTTTATTCAAGCAAATATGTTTGCACTAATAGGAATTACACAAGTAAATAACCAATATTGCAATGAGTGAATTAATAGACCCCTTAGGGTTTTATTAATTAAAAAGTTCAAGTCATATTAAAGCACCTTTTGTATATGTTTATTTCAATCAGAAAGCTGAACATGGTAACTCATTTGCATAAATAATCAATCACCATTTACTAGTAGTAATAAGGTTAATTTGTTGCTACAGACATAATAGGATTACTCAATTATATTTCCCAGAAAATACTACTTGTTATGCACCCCGTCACCTATAGAACAGGATTGGGTTTAGTGCCCTTATTAAACGAACACATCAAAAAAATCTTTGTCCCTGTAAAAGTTTTTTGAAAGGAAAGCTAATTTTAGTTGATTTGAATAAAGTAAAATGCAAGCATGGCCTCCATTTGTAAATTTAATTTATCTTCCTGCAAAGATTGATTATTTAATAAAGTTATTTATTTTGATTCAGCGACCAGTCAAGCTAAATCTACCACATATAGGACATATTCCCTTTGAAGAAAATCTCATTTGCAGATTTATTTTATTCCAAATAAGCTGACTTTTGTTCCCTCGTCCTTGTTCTTGGGTAATAAATTACGTTGTCTGCTCCACCTGCTGGTAGGTCCACGCAAAGGCCTGTTGTTGGGCCATACGAAGCTCCTGGCTTGAGCGCGGTCCTGGATTTAGCATCACCACCGTTGCCAAGGTTCATCGTAAGGATCGGAGTTACTGAGACAAGTGCAAAACTCAAGATCCGATTATAAAAGCTAATATTTCAAGATAAACATTATGACACAGAATTGTTCGCAGTTACACGAGTAGTAAATATAGTACCCTATTTCTCATCTTAATATAGTGAAAAAGGATGAATAAATATACAATAGACAAATCACTCACTCTAACAATATTTTATTTTGGTTATGTAATTCCATGATTTATACATATTCATATCAAAACTAATATAGAAAGGTTTTAACCTAATTAAAAATTTTGCACATTTATTATGGAAATAATTTTAATGTCATCCTTACATAATAGATTTTAATGTTTTGCCTTTAGCAGGTAGTGACAATTTTCATATAGAGATAGAAGTAACTATTTTCAGTTACTTAAGATGTATAAAAAAGACCTCTGTGGTTAATACAGATAAAATATTTTTTGAAATAATTCTTGGGAGA